AGAGTGTGTGTGAGTGTGTGTGAGTGTGAGAGTGAGTGTGTGTGAATGTGAGTGTGAGAGTGAGTGTGTGTGAATGTGAGTGTGAGAGTGAGTGTGTGTGAATGTGAGTGTGAGAGTGAGTGTGTGTGAATGTGAGTGTGAGAGTGAGTGTGTGTGAATGTGAGTGTGAGAGTGAGTGTGTGTGAATGTGAGTGTGAGAGTGAGTGTGTGTGAATGTGAGTGTGAGAGTGAGAGTGTGTGTGAGAGACGTACGCTCAGGATCTGATCTCCTTTCCTCAGCTCTTCGCTCAGATCAGCGGCTCCTCCTGTCAGGATGAAGGAGATGAAGATCCCCTCACCATCCTCACCTCCCACGATATTGAAGCCCAAACCCGTTGAACCCCTGAGAATGACCACTCGCCGCGGCTCCCTGCACACACCCATATAAAAATCATAATAAAGCATAATGCTATTGTGAATTCACAAACGTTACGATTCAGTTAAATATATGCGATGCAGGTTTAATATGAGCTTTAATTATTTACATGCGTGTCAGAGCGGCTCTGTTCACAGTAAACGCTGCTCCGCACAAACTCTTATCATTTACATGTGTGGAGCGTCTCAAACTCCATCTCTGCATGTTGTTGTGTGTTTGGGTTTATTATAACGTGCGTTTCATCAGATTTGTAAGGTAAATCATTTATAAACCTTCACAAACACTGGAGAATACGTCAGTATCTTTCTCAATATGCTAACTGTTCATCGCGATTTCAAAATAAAAGCTCAAATCCTTTTGATGTCCATATATTCTAGAAATTACAGTGGCTGTAGCATTTCTATCGCAAAGAAATGGCCAAATATTAAAGATTAAGTAGACATTTAAAATAAATGATGTTTAGTTAATATTAAACGAGGATTAGTTTGCGCATTAAAGTGTAAAACAATCGTCAGGCCAATGGCGTCCTCTGCTGGCATTTGTTATAATGCGTAATGCACATTAGCTCTATTGTTTATAATACATTATGTATTTTAACAGTTTTGTTCAATAAAAACATATGATTACTTGCTTTTAATACTTTATTTTAACTAATTATTATTTCCTCATTGCTATTATATATGTATTTTAAGTAATTTTAAAAGCTATTCTTCACTTGGGTCTATTTTTATTACCACAAAAAAATAAATTATAATTATCCGATTACTCGATTAATTGTTAGAATAATTGACAGATTACTCGATTACCTAAATAATCGTTAGTGACAGTCCTAATATGGATCGATACATTGATCAAATGTCTAACGATACGATGTATCGATGCCATGTGTAAAATATCGATATCTGTAGTATAAATAGGCACCTTATTTTGGCACTGTCCATATTTTCACACAATGTCTATCTATGCATTACCACCAATGTGTGCATTCTTGTTCAAACGCACATTTGTGACCCTTGACCACAAAACCAGTCATAAGGGTCAGTTTTTTAAAATTGAGATTTATACATCATCCGAAAGTCCAAAATGCTTATCATGACGAATATCTTAGTAAACACAGTCAGTTAGGCCTATGTCTTAACGTATACAGTTGAGAAAGAAAACGCATGTGTATCCTCTTCCTCTTAAAGTGAAAGCAGGCTAATAATAAACCTGCTGCTGTCAAAGAAAAAGAAGTGCTCACTGCTCCTAGATAAATAACTTTTGTGACATTAATAATAAGTTCCATATTTCATTTATACAGTGAAATCTATGCAGTTATTTTACATTTGATTATTACAATTCTGTACCTAGCACTGAGCCAAAAAAAGGCTTTATTTTTGTAATATTTTATATTTATGTTTCAACATGAATGTATTTTTTCTTACAACTGGAGTACCTCGTTTTGTCGTTTCCTAATGAGGATTATTTTACACACTGAAGCCTAAAATACTTTCTTGACTGTTGTCATGTCTAAGTGTGACTTTGTTTTTCACCCCCAATTATTTAATTTTCTTTATTATTTAAAAAAAATGTGTAGGCCTGTGTAGCGTATTTCTTTGTTGTGAACGTCCCAGTTGAAGTACAGGATGTGGAAATGTCAGATAAATGTTCATGTTATATATTTTGGTTGCGTTTGTGAGTTAATAAAAATGTAGATGGTTGTTTAATATATATATAGTATCGATAAATCAAGTGGTATACTCCTGAATCGAATCGTATTGAAATTGTATCTTAGAATTTTTTAAGGTATCGGCAAATATCGTATCGTTATTGTATCGTATCGTGAAGAACCATCTGATTTACACTTCTGTTGTGTAATGTTTGTGCTGTCCTGTGTCCTTCTAGACTCTGTAAGAGCAGCAGAAGGTGTGTGTGTGAGTGTGTGTGTTGACCTGGGAATGTCCTCGTCCCCCAGCAGCAGAGCTTTAGGGATGGGGGAGTAACGGCGTGGAGACGAGGGACTGAGGGCTTGTGGGTAATCAGACATGTCCATATGAGGAGAATACGCTGCAGAAACACACAGACATCAGAGATCAGCTGTGAGTGTGTGTGTAGGAGTGTGTGTGCTGTGTAGGAGTGTGATTGAGCGTGTGGGAGTGTGTGTGTGTGCGCGCTCACAGCTGGTGATGTCAGGAGGATTGTAGGCGTCTTGATGATGATGAAGAGTTTTGGCTACTCTCAGATAAACCACGTCTCCTGTGTTTTTCAGCACCGCTACAGCGTCTTCATGCATCACATCCTCTAGATACATATTATTCACCTAAACACACACACACACACACACACACACACACACACACTGCAGATCAGTGTCATTCGATAAAACCAGCATCACTGAACATTCATGATTATCATCAGATACATGTAGTGTAGTGTTTTACACAGGATTTCTGGACCTCAGAAATATAAAAGCTATAAATTCATCATTCAGATGTTTTTAATGTCTAAAATCCGAGTCCATAATCCATAATAACGCTTCCAATATTGGCTGATTAGACAGCAATGCTGACCTAAAATGCAAAATGTTTGTCCTCTCTGTCTTCTTCACCGTTAACACATCTCAAATACATAAAATATTACCCTTTTTAGACATAGTTTTTGAAGTAAAGAGTAAAGAAAATCTTAAACAAAACATATTGAAACAACTGTTCTTTACGCTTGCGAGACCCCCTCATAAAAACACTTTCTCACTGGATCTAAGCAAATCTCACAGGTGACCCGTTTTGATCTCAAAAAACTGAGTTGTCACTGAAAGCTGAGGAGTTCATCCCAATTCAGCCACATGTGTGTTTAGAGCTGTTTAAACGCTGCTTGATCTGTGCAGATTTCTCTCCTGATTCACACCAGAACACTTTTTCACTGGAGGAAGCGTTATTATGGATTATGGACTCTATGTATTTTAGTTAAAAGCATCTTATTGCTGGATTAGTTTCAGCTTTTGTCTTCTCCAGATGTTAACTGATGGACTGGAGTGCTGTGGATTACTTGTGGATTATTGTGATGTTTTTATCAGCTGTTTGGACTCTCATTCTGACGGCACCCATTCACTGCAGAGCATCCATTGCTGAGACACTGATGCAGTGCTACATTTCGCTGACCTAAAATGCAAAATGTTTGTCCTCTCTGTCTTCTTCACCGTTAACACATCTCAAATACATAAAATATTACCCTTTTTAGACATAGTTTTTGAAGTAAAGAGTAAAGAAAATCTTAAACAAAACATATTGAAACAACTGTTCTTTACGCTTGCGAGACCCCCTCATAAAAACACTTTCTCACTGGATCTAAGCAAATCTCACAGGTGACCCGTTTTGATCTCAAAAAACTGAGTTGTCACTGAAAGCTAAGGAGTTCATCCCAATTCAGCCACATGTGTGTTTAGAGCTGTTTAAACGCTGCTTGATCTGTGCAGATTTCTCTCCTGATTCACACCAGAAGCACGTCCGGCTCAAAATCAGACTCTTCTACAAACACTCAGGACCAATGAGATCATTTCCACTGCACATTCAGTTTCATTACACACATAAAAAGGTGTAGGATTTAGGGAAGGGTGATATGGGCTAAAAAATATATCACGATCATTTATAGTATGTATTGCGATAACAATATCAATGACGATAGTCAGCATCCACTAAGAGACAAAAAAAATCCTGTTTCTTTAGAGAAAAGTATTATCTTTCCTATTTTTACCCAAAATTGGGTGTTGTGAGCATTACTGAGCACACACGTGATGTAATGAGTGTTTAATTCACACTGGAAGCCAGAGGGCGCTCTTGCGCAGAAACTACACACATGCATGGCAGAAGTAATAGCACTGAAGACGCTCCAGGAAATCCCTAATATGGACAAAGGCATCCAGTCATCGCTGAATAAAACACACAATGGAGAAATTTGAACTGATGAAACTTTAAGACAATAAACATACGATTGCGACAATATATGGTTTATCTGTGCGCTTCAAGCAATCTTGGGTATTTTTTATAAGGATAAAGTATGTTTATAATGCAATGCTAATCGACATTTATCACGGTATATAATGCTATAAAATATTATGATTTCCTCATTCTGTGATAAGAAACCACGTCTGATCACAAAGTTATTTCAAACACTCGACTGATGTTATGAAGTTAATTTGGAGAAAAAGCACGTCAGTAAAGGAAATCTTTGTTGGAGTACAGGTTTGTAAACAGACTCATACACATGCAAAACTGTGCTACTGTACTACATTTATTCAGACTGATGTTTGTGCACTGTACAGTCCTGATCAAACCAGATCCAGATTATAGAAGGAGCTCCTCGTTTAGCGATAAACTCCTCAATTTCACATCCGCCTTCTGCGATGTCGCTCCGCTCTGTTGCACACAGAAATATGTCAACAACTAGACTTTATCATTATTATCGCTATTATATGTGCTGGTTTTAATTAAAAATTAAAAATAATACACTGAGACTCCTTTGGGGTTAAAGGCTTTAATTAATAAAACAATAAAAATAAAGTGAAAAAAAAAACAAAAAACATTTAGCTTAAAGAAAATGCCTATTTTTTAACATTGTTTTCATAACAAAGATATCGCAAAGAAATAGACTTCATTTTCTTTAAGCAAAATATTTTTCTCTTCATTTATTTATTTATTAATTAAATAAATCATATTTATTAATCAGTTAACTAATTAATTCATTATGTTTCTGGGGTGAAACGTGACCGGGATGCTTCCTTGTGATCTTCAGGACACCCAGAAATCAAATATAGCTCATGATCAAACACATTTTAAATAAATAATACACCGAGACTCCTTTGGGGTTAAAGGCTTTAATTAATAAAACAATAAAAATAAAGTGAAAAAAAAAACAAAAAAACATTTAGCTTAAAGAAAATGCCTATTTTTTAACATTGTTTTCATAACAAACATATCGCAAAGAAATAGACTTCATTTTCTTTAAGCAAAATATTTTTCTCTTCATTTATTTATTTATTAATTAAATAAATCATATTTATTAATCAGTTAACTAATTAATTCATTATGTTTCTGGGGTGAATGAGTTTCTAAGCACAGTTCAGCACGTGATCACTGGAACACAAAGTAATCTCAGGTGATGCTCAAACAGCTTCATCACAACTCCAAGCTGAACAACTGAGCATCAGAGTGTCTGTCCTGAACAGCTGCGCTTCATCAGCATCAAATCAGACCGATTTAACAGCCAATCGCTGATGGGGGCGGGGCTTGATGTAATCCGTGACGACTGATTGGACAGGGAAAGTGTCTCTGTATGAAGGCAGATTAAACATAGGAGCTGAAGAATAACTTACTGTATTGTGACAAAAAATAAAATAAAATTATGGATTATGGACTATGTATTTGAGTTAAAAACGTCTTAATGCTGGATGTGTTTCAGCTTTTGTCTTCTCCAGATGTTAACTGATGGACTGGAGTGCTGTGGATTACTTGTGGATTATTGTGATGTTTTTATCAGCTGTTTGGACTCTCATTCTGACGGCACCCATTCACTGCAGAGCATCCATTGCTGAGACACTGATGCAATGCTACATTTCTCCAAATCTGATTAAGAAACAAACTCATCCTAATCTTGGATGAACTGAGAGTGAGCACATTTTCATTTAAACTATGCCTTTAAGTCATCAGGGTTTTTCATCAACAGCATCTTGAAACCACTGAAGAACCGACGCTCATTAAAGACTCGCACCTAAACGACCTGAGAGAGACACACTGGGTAATTAACATCCTGTCTGTTTCAGTAACAGAGCTGAAGAACTTTAATTAAAGTCGTTTGATGAGTTCCAGCGCTGGAGGGCCTGCAGCCATCACACACACACACACACACACACACACACACACTCTCTCTCACACTCACATGCACACACGAGTGCTCAGTGACAGCTGATCTGATGTCACATCTGTCGTGTGGAGAGACAGTCAGAGCGTTTTGTGTGTGTGCGTGTGTGTCACTGTGTGTGTGTGTGTGTGTGTGTGTCACTGTGTGAGTATGTGCGTGTGTGAGTGTCCTTTCGTTGCTACGGCTACTGCATGGCAACAGCTGTTGAGTCCTCTGGGAAAATCCAGTTTCCTTAGCAACTAACATTTCCATGGTAACAGTGTCAGCCTCTCAGCCTCATCACGGGCCAAATGTCCATAAGCGAGAGATTACACACACACACACACACACACTCACACTCACACACACACACACGTGTTTGTTCCCGTGCTGTCTGATGACTTCTAAAACTTTGAGTGACTTTTATCTAAACACACACTTGAGTGGAATTCGCATCTGTTTAATATTCATGAGTCCAGAATTAGACTGCATCTTTATTAATAAACATCAGATATGAATATCCAGACTCTCATTTTCTGAACTCTTCTGTTTCTCAGATGCAGTTTTGATGGCATGACATGTTTATTTTAGTATCAGTTTTCATTTTTGTTAGTTTTTTAAAAATGTTTATATATTTTTATTCATTTTTGTTTTAGTTTTAATTACATAATAACATCAAGTTTAACTATTCATTTTTTTTATCTGTTTTTATTCCTATATTTTCCATTTTAATTTTAAATTTTAGTTAACACTAGGGCTGGGTGATATAATTTGCCTCGATTAAACGATAAGGAGAGTTTGATAAATGTTGGATATAATGTTTAAGCACAAAAAGCAGAAGAGAACAGCGCTACTGATTTGAAGTCACTAAACAGCACTGATCCAGTGTGAAGCGCTCAACTAGCTAAGCTATAATAGCGTTTGTGTATTTAGGCTACTGTCTTTCATAAAAATACCTAGCATTTTGTCTCTAGAACCACTGTTATATTGTACCATGTTTAGCTCTGGTTATCATGATCTAAATGTACGCTACTATGGAAGAACAATGGTTAATGTTAATAACACTCAAACAGAACGATTACATTTCATCATGTGGAAATAAGCTTGTTACAGTTTTTGCAGATGTTACTTTTTTTGAACATGCAGAAACTAAGAAATACATTTTTCTATTTAAATATTTATTGTAAAGAGAAATGACTGGAAAAGTGAGAAATGTGAAGTGTATGTTCTGACCATAAAGAGTTGTTTAAAACCTTTAAAAACTTTCACTTTGGAGCAAAAATCTGCCTTTAAACTTTTGAAAGAAATAAAGATTTGAATCTCATTTTGCTGATTATCGATATCGACTGATATGAACAATTATATTAATAGTGTTTTGTCCTTTTTCATATATTTTTTAAAATACGTCTATTTTGTATTAATTTTAATTTCAGCTTAATTTTACTTTAGTACTTCAAGTTAAACTATTCATATTTTGAATCAGCTTTATTTTTATACTTTCCAATGAAAAATGGTGAAAATGATATAAACGTCAATGTCACCGTGACAAGATGCAGCTAAACTCGGCTGTCGTTCACTAGCGTCTCACACTCACACACTCCTGCATGACATCACAGCCATCCTGCCACACAGTTGCCATGACGACGTGCACAGACCGCATCACACCATCACTCTGGTCACCATGGAGACGATGCAGCGCTCAGCAGAAATCTGGCAACTATCAACAACACACAAATACACCGAAAACACACAGTTTCCCACGGTAACCTCGTCACACTCACTGAAGCGTCTCACCCTCTCATTCATGTCTTTTACACCTAACTGTGATATTTTGACATATTAAACTGGTTACTATGGTGATTTCTGTCTGGAATAAACACTAACATGATGGTGGTACCATGTAAAATCATAGTAATCAAACACAGTAATACCACAGTAATTCCTACAAGAGAATCACTTGATACACACACACACACACACACTCACTCTCTCTCT